TCGAAGTCAGCATTTGAGAAAAGTCGTTTCAATCTAGTATGTTCAAAACATAAGCCACTAGTACTAATCTCTTTTGACCTTACTGTGTCTAAATGGTTTCTCTTTGGTTTAAGGAATGCAGGTAAATTCATTGATGACTATTGAAGCAAAAAAGAAGTACCAATTCTTGGAATCTATAAGTGCCATTATGGATTCCCATTTGAGATATTTTAAGCTTGTAGGTTTCTTCTTATTTTGCATTTTGAGAATGTCACCAAGTGTGACCATTAATGTGGTTCGTTGTGCTTCAGGGGTATGACCTATTGAGTCAGTTGGAGCCTTATATCCATCATGTAAATATCAAACCCTTTTCAATAATGCCCAGTAAAAGATAAGCTAAAATGCTTAAACTTGAGATGACCAAAAGTTACTTGCTACTTTTTCTTCTTTCAGGTATTGAGCGATGCTCAACAATCAAAAGAAGAGTCTAAGATTGAACAAGACCGGTTTGCTAGACGTATTCAAGAATTCAGGACTCAATCTGAATTAGACAGCCAGCAAGTTGAGCCCTCTAATGTTGATGGAAACCATGTTTATAGAACTATCCCTTATAAAAATGTAGAAGCAACTTCGTTATCAACGTTGGACAAGGAAGTAAGTGTCTCCAACACTCATGTGGTAAACAAGTGAAAACCAGACATAAAGATTTATGATGACTCCTTTACTGATGCAGGTGATTAAACAAGGCTACTTATTAAAGAGATCAGCTAGTCTTAGAGCTGATTGGAAAAGGAGGTTCTTTGTACTTGACAATCATGGATCTCTATACTATTACAGAAACACCGGTAACAAATCAGCGGTATGTGTTCCTGTGTTTACTTCCTTGTCTGTAAAACATGTCTTTATCACCTGTGTTTTCTTCATCTCAAGTTTCTCTTTCTCAGTTTTCAATCATTCTAATCGTTGTTTCTTTCTTTCTTAGGGATCTCAACACTACTATAGTGGTTTAGGTGAGCATAAGAGCGGCGTCTTTAGGAGATTTCGGTCAAGACACGTTAGATCAGCTTCACAGGGAAGCCTGGATTGCAACTTGATCGATCTCCGTACTTCACTGATAAAATTGGATGCAGAGGACACAGATCTTCGACTTTGTTTCAGAATCATTTCTCCTCAAAAGACTTACACATTACAGGTACCATGTTAATTAGATACATGGACGTGAAGGAGCAATATTAGGAGGCTAACACATATTATTTCTCTAGGCTGAAAACGGAGCTGATAGGATGGATTGGGTGAATAAGCTTACAGCAGCTATAGCAACACGCTTGAATTCTCATTTCCTGCAACAGGTTTACGCAAGACAAGCCTCAGGCTTCTCTTTTTAATTTGACTCAAATTAAGTTTTAAAGTTTGTGTGCTAATACGTATATTTTGTTATCTTCTGCAGTCACCAATTAACTATGCTAGTTCTGGTCCTGCTGGTGAAGAACTCTCCCTGGATCAAAAACAAGATTATAATCGACGACTAAATATGGGGGATGATGTCCTTGCTATACTCAGAGGAATCCCTGGAAACGATGCATGTGCAGAATGCAATGCATCTGACCCTGATTGGGCATCATTGAATCTTGGAGTTTTGATGTGCATTGAATGCTCTGGTGTTCACAGGAACCTCGGTGTTCATATATCCAAGGTATTTGTTTTTTTTATGGTTGTTTATAAAATCTTGGTGAAGTAAACATTGTTGTAGTCATAGCTTTTGGACACATGCATTCTTTTGTTTTGGGTTAATCTATTATGTCACAGGACTTTTTAAAAAATTTCGGTTATTTTACACGTCCTAGTTTTACTTTATTAGTAAGTATTTTGACACAGTAAAATTCGTGCATGAGTTTGAGCTAATGCCGTAGATTTTCTGCAGGTGAGATCACTCACATTGGATGTGAAAGTATGGGAACCCACAATCTTGGACTTATTTCGAAACTTAGGCAATGCATATTGTAATGGAGTGTGGGAAGGGCTACTTCAGCTTGACGATGACTGGTATGGTTTCTCAAAGAAAATTAGATTCTTTAAAGCACAACCAAGAAGTCAAATGTGTCCAACGTATAATTGAAGCATAATGGATTTTTGCAGTGATAATGGATCAAATAACAAGCTTGCAGTGATTACAAAGCCATCTTCAAAAGATTCATTTTCTCTGAAGGAGGAATACATTCAAGCCAAGGTATCACATCACATCACATTGAGCTCTGAAAGTTTTATTGATTCATCCTATTAGCTCAGGCATGTGATAGAGAAAGGGTGATGATACTAAAACCTGATAATATTTATTGCCAAGTCAGTACATGGAGAAAGCTCTTGTTGTCAAAGATGAAGTAGAAACAAAACTTACTGCCTCTAGTATAATATGGGAAGCTGTTCAAAGCAAGAACATACGAGAAATCTACCGACTCATTGTAACAGCAGACGCGAATATCATCAATACCAAGTTCGATGATATTACTGCCGTTGATGCATACCATCACCATGTTGATGAACAAGATGAAGTTAAGAAGAGGCATGATCCAAATGCCTGTCAGAGAATCAAAGATTCAAGAAACTGTCTCCAAGGCTGTTCGTTGTTGCATGTGGCGTGTCAGAGCGGTGACCCGGTTTTGCTTGAACTGTTGTTGCAGTTTGGTGCTGATATAAACATGAGAGATTATCATGGAAGAACTCCGTTACACCATTGTATTGCATCAGGGAACAATGCATTTGCAAAGGTTTTATTGAGAAGGTAACTAATAATATCAAAAATATAATCTTTATTTTTTATGACCTCATCAGTTTCACATGATTGTTTCCCTTTCTTTGGATAATGTAGAGGTGCTCGTCCGTCGATAGAGGATGGTGGAGGACTAAGTGTACTGGAAAGAGCGATGGAGATGGGAGCCATAGCTGATGAAGAGCTCTTCGTTCTCTTAGCAGAGTGTCACTAATATAACATTTTCTCTTTTGTTCAGGCAAGAAATCTAATTGATTAATTGCGAAGCAGAAGACTATGTGACAAATGCTCTTTGGTCATGTTACTGTAATTGTTGTAGTAGTAATTTGTCTGTCATGAGTGGCTCCCATTGATGCTATCTAAGGTCATCTTTTGGAGTTAGTTATGGATTGTTACAGACTTGCAATGCGTCATACTTCACTTCCATTTTTCTTCTCAAATCCAACATTGCATCCCTTCTTTGTTAAAATGCATATAAACCATGTTTATGATGCGTTGTGATTTTGATCTTGGAACCGAGAGCTTGATTCAGTATACAAAATATAAATTAGTAATGTTACATAATAATTTTTTTTTAAATTGTTACAAAAATACAAATTTATAATTTTTATATTAATAATATCATAAACCACATAAATATTATCATAACATTAGATGGTATACTGAGTCAAATTATATTTATTTATTGATAAATTTTAATCTCCCCGTTTCTTAATATATAATGTTTGAGATCATTCTACAAAAATTAAGAAATTTACATTCTTCAACAAAAATATTTTTAAAGATATATTTTTAACATCATTCAACCAATTATAAAGAAGTAAAATTGGTTGAACAGTTTCTAACAAAAAGTTAAAAATAACCTTAAAATCTTAAAATATACTTTAATTTCAGAACATCTTATATTTGGGAAATTACCAGAAATAACACTTTCAAGATACCACTTTTCAACTTTACACTAACCAACTTTACCATTAAAATTTTAATACTCAAAATACTATTAGAATTCAGGGTTTTGGGTTGGGAAATTACCAGAAATAACACTTTCAAGATACCACTTTTCAACTTTACACTAACCAACTTTACCATTAAAATTTTAATAGTCAAAATACTATTAGAATTTAGAGTTTAGGGTTTTGGGTTTAGGATTGATAGTTACGGGTTTAGTGTTGATTTTTTAGGGTTTACGGTTTACTTTTTAGGGTTTAGAGTTTAGGTTTTAAGGTTTAGAATTGATATTTTAGGGTTTAGGGTTGATTTTTAAGGTTTAGGATTTACATTTTAGGGTCTAGAGTTTAGAATTGATGTTAGGGTTTAGGGTTAATATTTTATTTAATATTTATTTTATGTATATATATAAAGAACAAGAATATAAGAGTTTTTTATCCTTTAATAAAATGTGTATTTTTGAAAATGTTCATTTGTTGATGGTAAACATGAAAAGTGGTACCACCAAAGTGGTATAATTGAAATTCTCCCTTTTGGGATTAGGATTGATAGTCTAGGGTTTAGTGTTGATTCTTTAGGGTTAAAGGTTTACCTTTTAGGGTTTAGAGTTTAGGGTTTAAGGTTTAGAATTGATATTTTAAGGTTTAGGGTTGATTTTTAGGGTTTAAGATTTACGTTTTAGGGTCTAGAGTTTAGAATTGATGTTTTAAGGTTTAGGGTTAATATTTTATTTAATATTTATTTTATGTATATATATAAAGAATAAAGATATAATTAAGAGTCTTTTACCTTTAATAAAATGTGTATTTTTGAAAATGTTCCTTTGTTGATGGTAAACATGAAAAGTGATACCACCAAAGTGGTATAATTGAAATTCTCTCCTTATATTTTGAAACAAAATAAATCTTTTAAAACATCATCTAATTTGACACAGAGGAAATATTATATAATTTCAAATATCTTCGTATTAAAATACCCGTAGTTCTGTTTTATTTTCAATAATTTAGTTTAGTCTCTAAAACTTAATACTAATGTGAAACCCCTTTAGTTAGTGGTTTAACTTTTTTTTTTTGAACACCTGTTAGTTGTTTGATTAAGAGTTCATTATACCCATTTATTTATTTTTATTCAAAGTTTAGTTTTTCTAAATTTTAAATTTCTTCCAAAATTTAGATATAGTCTCGTCTTCAATTTTGCGGGACGAGGGTCAATTTGTAAAAGCAGTATTATTCGGAGGGTTTATTTGGAAATATTCCTGTAATAAATTGTAAAAAACGCCGGCTTTTCAAACCCTTCACCACCGTTTGTTCGTCGCCGCCACCTTCTCTCTCTCTCGCTCTCCAAATTCGCACATATCCCTTTTAAGAACAAAACTGAGTTGTTCCCAACAAGTAAGCTTCTTTTGATTCTCCTCTAAAAACCATTCTTTTTAGTAAGGTTTCTAGATAAACCCTAATTGTTCCCGTTTTGTAGAGAAAGGATGGTGGTGACTGAAGAAGACAAGATATTCGCCAAGAACTTCAACATCAACGACCTCCCTGACGTCCCTGCTGGACTTCCTCCGCATCTAAAAGTCAAGCAAAACCGTGTCGTCTCTAAAAAAGATGCTCCCGTTGATGTATGAACTTCTCTGTTCTTACTCTCAATACTATAGTCCCTTAAGCTCTGTATTGTTACTTATAAGTTCAGCTAATTGAAGAAAGCTTTGATTTTGTGAGTTGGGCCTTAGAGTTGCCCCTTTTGTATTTTTCTTTTTGTCAAAATCCAAATGAGTTATGTGATGATTGTCTGAAAGTTTGAAAGTCTTTTGTTCTTGTTCTGTCTTTTGTATGTGTTTTCTGTATGCTTATAAGTTCATCTAACTGAAGAAAGCTGTGATTTTTTTTAATTGGGTCCTTGAGTTTTACAAGATTACATTGTGTCTGAAAGCTGAAGTCTTTATTCTTGTTCTGTTCTTGTGTTTTTTTCTGAAAGCTGAAGTCTTTATCCTTGTTTTGTTCTTGTGTTTGTGTTATGTGTAGACTGCGAATGCCATTTACTCGGGTAGCCATGTCTTTTCGGGAGTGGACAACAGTGTGAAGCTAGGAAACTTCTATGAGGATTTCAAAGTTGATGTGATTAGCTGCACAGAGACTGATATGGAGTTTGATATGATCGGTATCGATGCTGCATTCGCCAATGCTTTCAGAAGGATCCTTATATCTGAGGTCTGTCCACTCTCTCTCAACAACAACCTCCTGATAACTAGAATCTTTGTTCTAAAACTGTTTTGTTTATTTGCACAGGTTCCATCAATGGCTATTGAAAAAGTGCTTATAGCAAACAACACATCGCTTATTATAGACGAAGTTCTTGCTCACAGGATGGGTCTTATTCCTATTGCTGCAGATCCAAGGCTCTTTGAATATTTAACCGGTAAGAATATAATCTGTGGCGTGTTTATATGCAAAAAAAAATCTCCTATGTGTCAGCTTATTTGTTTGTCTATGTTTCATAGAAAACGATGTGCCAAATGAGAAGAACACCATTGTTTTCAAACTCCATGTGGAATGTCCCAAACGTCAATCTCGTCTTCAAGGTAATGATGTCTGTTTTTAAGTTAACATCATAAGGTTCCTTAGTTCTATTGTCAGATCATGAAAGTTGTCATATGAATGTAGTTTTAACGAAGGATTTGGAATGGTTACCAAATGGAAGTGAGTTTCTCAAAGAAACAGGAGGTTCAACTTCAACTTCAACCACAAAGCCAAAAACTTACACTTCATTCAGCTGTAGCCAAGATTCTCTCCCTGAATTTGCTGATAACCCTATTACACCGAGCTACCTCGATATCTTGATAGCAAAACTCAGCCCTGGTCAGGTACTCCTGTTTCTATGTACGCTCAATACTTCTTTCTATCTTGCGATGAAAGATGAACCAAACACTTGCCGCTGTATTTTATCTTAGGAAATTGAGCTTGAAGCTCATGCGGTTAAGGGCATTGGTAAAACACATGCAAAATGGTCTCCTGTAGGGACGGCTTGGTATAGAATGCTTCCTGAGGTGAGAAGTTTGTTAATACCTCGAAACTCTTTTCTGCTTCGGTCTTGCCTTGTCCTAATCTTTCTTGTAATGCTTTTCTTGACACTATTTTAGGTGGTTTTACTAAAGGAAGTTGTGGATGAGAATGCTGAACGACTCGTAAAAGTCTGCCCAATGAATGTTTTTGACATTGAAGACATGGGCAATGGTAAAGTGAAAAGCATTCCAAAGTTTTATGTGCTCAACAACTTTCTTGATTTTGATATCATATTGACTTGTGTTAAACTAACAGGTAGGAAAAGGGCTACAGTAGCACAGCCTCGCAATTGTACCTTGTGTAAAGAGTGCATAAGAGACAATGATTTGGCTGACCTGGTGGAATTGCGCAGTGTCAAGAACCATTTTATATGTAAGAAAAAAGAAGAAAAAACATTCAGTTTTGCTCTGTAAATCATGATATGTCCGAAAGGGAACCTAACTGAGTTTTGCTATATGTGTTTTGGTCAGTTAAAATTGAGTCAACAGGATCACTGCCTCCAGATGTTCTCTTTACTGAAGCTGTCAAGATATTGGAAGATAAATGTGAACGTGTCATCGCTGATCTCTCCTAATTGAGATTGTCTTGGTTTAGCTATCTATCGGCCGGTTTAGTTCAATTTTGTGGTTTGTATCAAATTTTATCCTTATTATATTAATACGAAGAACCTTGAAATTAAGTTTATGTTTAATTCGAAATATTCGAACCAATTTGGAAATATTTTTTCGGTTATTTAGGTTTGAAGTGCCGATCAATGAAATTTATTTAAGTGTTCAGGAGTTTCCAACTTGGTACCATACCGCCTATATATGACATGTCTGACAAACAGATTTGTCTTTTGTAGAATTGAAACACGAAATCAGGATTTTGCTCCAGTTTAATACTTAGTGAAATTTGGCTCATAAGAAATATTTTTATGCAAGGCACATGTATGGTTTTAGTCTAAACATTTATATACAGCTTCTACAATGTATCTGTTTTTCATTTCTTTTCAAAACTCAACTTTTGCAGTTTTTAAATGTTTTGGGGGGGTGTATTGAAACAAGAGTTTTAAGAGATTTTGGGATTCTGTTAAAATACCATGTTATTGAACTAATGATTTTAAAAACTTTTTTTCAAATCCTGTGTTATTCAACATGTAATTTGAATAAAGTTATTGAAAATCACTTGAAGTTCTCTGTTATTCAATTAACAGTTTGTAAAACTTACATCAAATGCACTGTTATTCAACATTGAACAATATCTAAGATGATCTTTTGTGGTAAGGATTTTAGGAGAGTTTAGATTCATTTTTAGTCAAAAACAGTTCATCTAGAATAACATCTCCACGGCTGGTATTTGAAGAAAACTGCAAATAGATTAAAAAGTAAAAAAAAAAAAAAACATTCAGAAAAAAAAAAAACATTCAGCAATAAAATAGTATGGTACATCGACCAAGAACTGAGAGACGTCTTCATGCTCCAAAGACAGAACGTGGGCGTTTGACATAGACGACTCCCGTCTCCAGAGGAAACCATCTTCGAGTTGTTTGTGGAGACTATCATTGTCGAATTCAAAGCACCACCTGATCGATATGTCTTTGTGAGCACAAAACAGAAGAGGAAACGTAACTTATATCAGTGTGATGCTGCTTGAAGGGGTTTATTCTTTGATTCTTCCTTTCCGATAAGATTTTTGATCTAAGTTTCTACACAAGAGAATCCATTGAACTCCAAACCAGAAAGAGCCAAAGTGTGCATGCCACAATGAGATTGCTGCAGAAGGTGAGACTCTCACATCTCATACCAACTTCAAAAATATATAAAAGTAAGTTGATCACTTTTTGGCATGAGAAAGGTTAATGATACCCTATATCTACTGATTTATTCATCAACATTAAAAGTCATACCTTTGATGAATATACAAACTAAAGAACTAGAATCTGCACACTCACAAAAAGCTGAACGGGTCAGTATCCATACAAAAGTCTTGGATCTCAAACTCTTCACTCCTGTAGCTTCCATGACTCTTTCAAGCATCACCTCTTGCGCTTTTTAACTATCTGAGCTTTGGAAGCATTGAAATCAATCAACGTCTTGACTTAATACAAAAGGCATCCATGTTCCGGTAATGATCTCCGCTAGTAAAGGTGAAATAAAAAAGCTTTGAAGCATGGTGATTTCTTCAGTCTCACTGAACAACCTCTGAGACCTTTTCTCCAAAAAGATCTTTTTAACCTCTTCGTCAGTTGTTGTTGTTTCCGGCTTCTTCTTCTTCATGTGCTCAGTCGAAAACAGTGATTGCATCAATTCTTTCTCCCTTCAGCTTGTATCATGAAGGATCTTTACTTGTCTAATTCAGAATATTGATGGCTAAACTCTGCAGTTCAGGGTGCTGGCTTACAATTGGCTCAGCAAAAGAGAAACTTGTTGCTATAACAAGTACAAAATTATAGGAAAAACAAACATCACTTTTGTCGGAACCCAGTGATTGCATCCAACACTTTTGTTCAATATATAATTTTTATGCTATGAGCAGTTTTCTTATAAAATTATAATCAGGGTTTCTCGCTAGTTGTTTTAGCAGGGATTGGTAGATAACCATGTATATCACCTAAAAAACTCTAAATCTATATTTTTAGAATCAAAAAAACTAAATCTAAAAAACTAACTCTAATTTTTATGCTTCATTTTGTTTTTTAGATTTAGTTTTTTTTTTATTCTAAAAATATAGAATTGGTTCGAGTATTTATGAAATCTGGCTTGTTTTTGATTAGGTAATTTTGGTCTGGATAACAAGATTGAGAATCGGCTAAAATTCAAGAAAATTTTGGGTTCAATTTGATTTAAGTTCGATTTCAGTTTTATTAATAGTTCTGGTTGATTTGGGTTAAAATTTGATAATTCAGAGTTTATATAGAAAATACTAGGTTAATTAAAAATTTGGATAAAATATCGGATTTTATTAGAGATATATGATTTGTTCGGATTATAAATTCAATTTGGTTGCGATTTCAATTTTTCAGTTTGGTACAATTAGGTTCCTCGGTTATGGGTAAAATGGTCCCAAGCCTATCCAACTATATGCAACCTATCACACAATTACATAATTCAGAATGTGATTGGTAGTGGCTGTAGGTACTCTCCAGAGCACTATATATTTCTAAAGCACCAAATTCACAGCAATCAAGTTTTAATGATTTTGTAAAACCACAGCTCCTGAAATAATCTACAGCTATACAAGTACTTTCTAGAGCCAAATATTCAAAGTAATTTTTTTGAGCTTTCCATATAATCTACAGCAATAAAATCTAAAGCCACAGCAAAAAGACTACATCATTTTTTCTACAGCTAAAATTTTAAAGTTACAGTCATAACCAAACGTTCCCTAACACTAAGAAAAACAGTATAAGAAAATCAATTATCATCAACCTTTTTAGGATTCAGTTATCTTTTTTTTTTGTTTAATTACCTTGTTACATGGAAACGGAAACAGATACGCGGAAGTGAAATCGTATGGAAGCGTAGAAGCGAGATTTTTTTTAAAAAAATAGGAAGCGGAAACGTGTTGGAAGCATATATTTATATATGTATATATATACACATATTAAAATATTAAAAAAACTTAAAAATATGACTAGAAATTATTAGAGTCAAATTAAAATAAAACATTTATTCATTTATAATAATTTTAAATGATTTTATCTTAAAACCGTGAAAATATACATAAATCAAGTTTATAAGATATTATTATACTAATTTTTTTTTAAATATTTCGTAAATAATTAACACAATCTATTTGAATATATACGATATATCTTTAATAAATCCTCAATGCATAAACATAATTTTTATAATATTAGTTTTAATATTTGTATAATTTTATTCTCTATTTCACTATTATATAAAAACAAAAATAATATTTTTATATTTTTATTTACTTATGACATTGAATCTTTTAAAATGGAAGCGTGATTCCAAAACGGAATCATAAGCTTCCAATGTATTTTTAAAAATGTTTTTTTCGGAAGCGCAATGGAATCGAGATTCCGAGAGATTCCACAAGCTTCCGTTTTCGATTCCGATTCCGAAGCGGGAAACAGACGTATGACGAAGCTTCCATGCAACCTAGCCTTCAACACAATAAACACAAACAGAACGAATTTTCCGAAATAAAATTTACCCATTATAAAAAAAAAAAGAGGAAACGGTGACTGATTTAGCTATATATATACGAACACTGCTATTAATCTCTTCCTCTTTTATTATTTGAGGATTGCGATGGCTTCGACGATCTTCCCTTCTTCTGAAGACCTCGTTCACGAGAAACTAGTAAAGCGAAACCCTAAATCCCTACAACGTTGGTGGAGTTACTTGATCTCCAAGTCTCATTCCCCTTTCAACGAACGTCTCGTGATCTACGAAAGAGCCCTAAAAGCTCTTCCCGATAGCTACATGCTTTGGGAATCATACCTCGGTGAACATCTCGACACCGTCAAAGACTTGGAAGTCACTCATCCACAGTATGACTTTCTCAACGATGCTTTCGAAAGATCTCTCGTGACAATGCATCACATGCCAACCATCTGGCTCATGTATCTCGAAACCCTAACCGCTCAGAAACTGATCGCTAGGGCTCACGAAACTTTCGATCGTGCTTTCTCCTCTCTCCACGTCACGCAACACGGTAGGATCTGGGAAGCGTATCTCGTATTTGTGAGCCATCAAGAAAGTGTTTCTTTAGAGACTAAGCTTAGTGTTTACCGAAGGTGTCTCGAGTATGATCCTGTTACTCACGTTGAGGATTTTGTTGAGATTCTTTTGAAGTATTGTCGTTGGGAAGAGGCTGCAGAGACTCTTGCTAATGTGTTGAGTGGTGAGTTTGAGTCTCGGAACGGGAAGAGTGTTCACAGCTTGTGAAGGGATCTTCTTGATGTTCTTGTTCACCATGCTGATGAAGTTTCAGGACTCGATGTGGATGGTATTATCAGAGGGGGTATTGGTAAGTTCATTGATGAGGTTGGAGTGTTCTGGACTTCTCTTGCTGATTATTACATAAGAAAGAATATGGTTGAGAAGGCGAGAGATGTGTACGAGGAAGGGATGATGAAAGTGGTGACAATGAAAGATTTCAATGTTATATATGATGTTTCAAGATTTGATGTTGCTAAAAAGATGGACTTAGATGAGGATGATGAGGAGGAGGATGCTAACGTTGTTGCAAACAGTGTTCTCTTGAGACAAAACCCACATGACGTTGAACAATGGCATCATAGAGTCAAGTTGTTTGAAGGAGACGTTGAGAAGCAGATACTGATTTACACTGAAGCTGTGAAGGCTGTGGAAACAATGAAAGAAGTTGGGGAGTCTCCACACACGTTGTTTGTTGCTTTCGCTAAGCTCTATGAAACAGAGAACGATTTGGTCAACGCGAGAGCGGTTTTTGAGAAGGCAGTACAAGTAAACTACAAGGACGTGGATCATGTGGCTTGCGTGTGGTGTGAGTGGGCTGAGATGGAGGTTAGGCACAAGAATTTCAAAGGAGCTTTAGAGCTGATGAGGCGTGCAACATCTTCACCATGGCCAGAAGCACCGTGGATAGAACCAGAACAAGCCCACATGGAGTTGTATAAGTCCTTGAGGCTATGGTCTCTCTACGTTACTCTGGAGGAAAGTGTAGGGACATTGGAATCAACGAGAGCTGCTTATGAGAGGATAATGGAGTTGAGAATAGCCACGCCATTGATTATACTAAACTACGCTAAGCTTCTTGAGAAGAATGACTACTTTGAAGAGGCGTTTAAAGTGTATGAAAGAGGTGTGAACATGTTTAAGTACCCTCATGTGAAAGACATATGGGTAACGTATCTGACAAGGTTTGTTGAGAGATATGGGAAGACAAAGGTGGAGAGGGCAAGAGAGTTGTTTGATAATGTCGTCTCGATGGTAAACTCATCTGATGAAACTAAGAGAGCGATGGAGATTTACAAGGAAGCTATGAGGAAAGTTGGGGATGGGAAGAAGCTTGAGATGTACGAGATGTGCATAGTTCGTGTAGCTGAGCTTTTTGGTGTTGAAGAAACAAGGGAGATATTTAAAGAAGCAGTGGAATCATCATCAGGGGTTTTAGATGATGATGTGAAGATGATGTGTGTCATGTTTGCTGAGATGGAGAGAAGCGTTGGAGAAATAGATCGAGCTCGTGATATCTATAGGTATGCGTCGCAGTTTGGAGACAATCGAGTTGTGTGGGAGAAGTGGGATGAAATGGAAACTGAGCATGGTAATGAAGATACGTATAGAGACATGCTTAGTGTTAAGCAAACTGTTTCTGGCAGCGGTTTGCGTCCGGTTAAGAACTCCCGGTCTGGGTCTCCTTTTGAAACTCTGTCCACCTCTCCGGTTAAGAAAATGCGTACACTGTAAAAGGTTTACTTTCCTTTAGAGTGTTCTCATTTGCTTTAATGTTTGTTCTGCTGACTAACTAGTAAACAGCTATAGTCAAGTGCATGTTTTTGAATCTTTATATTGGATCCAATCTTTTACTCTTGTCAGATTCTACTTTCTTGATCTTGAAATCTGATATTGAGGATAGATTACCGAGACTTGATCTCTGATTTTGCTTGCAGTATGCTTCATGGTTATGTGTGTTTTGGATGAATGCATATCTATGGCAAATAATTTGGTGGTTACAGATGAAGTGAAGTAATGCTATGGTGAAAGTAGCCTAAGTTTAGAATCCTCTTTCTTATTAAGAGTTTTGTTGAGAAAACAAGAAGTAGAGAATCAGTAATGCAGAGTTGTGTGTATTTGCTGAGATTTTAATGTCTTTTTCCAATTAACTACAATGGAAAATGTGATACACAAACAATACTGGATAGGAAGAAATGAAAAGATAAGAAAATACAAATGGGGAAGGATGGGAGTTAAAAGGTTGGTTTACAAGTTAGGTAGGTAGCTTGTATGGAGGGAACGTTCACCAGCCACATTTATCATGGAAGAGTATATCCCAAGGCTTTCCAGCTATATATTTATATAAATTTCTATAGAGAAAACTATATTTTTTATAATTTCCAATTTTTTCTACATAAAAAAAATTGTTCAATCACTCACACTATAGATGATTTGAGAATCGAAATAGAACAAACAACAAAAATAAGATTTCTATGAAAAAATTGAACCCTGGCAAGCACGTCTTCAATTTTGTTATAGTTTCTTGGATTATGATTTTTTTTATAATTCTATTATTAGTTACCAAAAGAAAAAAATACTTTATATAATATAAAAAATTAGATGTACCAAATGTCTTTTCTTGCTGTAATTGGATGAATAAAAAAACTATTAAAGAAAAAAAGAAAAGAAATGATAATGTTCAAATATAAATACAGTCCTTGGCTAAGAACCAAAGAGGTGTCGAATTAGTTCGCTAACTACCGAAGAAGTTGCTGCCTCTCTCTCTCCTTTCACTCTCAACGGTAAGATCCATCCACCACCACTCTCATCCATTTCTTCGATCCAAATCGTAAATGCTCTCCTTTCATCTCAAATCATAAAAGAAACTCCGTACAGTAATTTTGTTTTTAAAAAACATCTCTTTCTCTCTCTCTCGCGTGCCATTGTGATCAACATTGCCCTGAAAGCTTTAATCTGTTCGATCCACTCAAACAAATTCGATAGGGATCTTATTGTAAATATTTCACTGTTTGATTGCGAGATCCCATAGCTTGATTAGTTAACGATCTAATTTACGAAACAAATGATTTTTGATTTTGCCTGTGTTTCACTGAGCCAGCTGGATCTGTTGAGATTTATTAACTTTGTTTCGTTTTCCTCTGATTACAGCTCTGAAGAAATGGCACGGAAGAAGATCAGAGAGTACGACTCAAAGAGACTCGTGAAAGAACACTTCAAAAGACTCTCCGGTAAAGAACTCCCTATCAGATCCGTTCAGGTAAAAAATATCCTTTTTTTTTTTTTTAAAGTTGCATTGGTTTCTCCGTCTTTAACAAAAAAACACTTTTTAATGACAACGCTGTATAGATAAACCAAGAGACTGATCTAAATGAGCTAGTTGAGAAGGAGCCTTGGCTCTCTTCCGAGAAGCTTGTCGTCAAACCTGACATGTTGTTTGGTAAGCGTGGCAAGAGTGGTTTGGTTGCCTTGAAACTTGACTTCGCTGAAGTTGCAACCTTTGTCAAAGAGCGGTTAGGCAAAGAGGTATTAACTTGTTGAGGCTTTGAGCTAAAATGATCTGAGATCTGTACTTAGATTTGTCTTATCTAACATGTCCAGGTTGAGATGAGTGGATGCAAAGGACCCATCACTACCTTCATTGTTGAACCTTTTATCCCACATAATGAGGAGTTTTATCTCAACATTGTCTCGGATAGACTTGGCTGCAGCATTAGCTTTTCTGAGTGTGGAGGTATTGACATTGAGGAGAACTGGGATAAGGTATTCATTTTGATTTATAGTGTGTCTGTTTCACTATGTTTCTTAAAGCTGCAAATTGAGTCGAGAGACCTCACTTTCTTGTATAGGTCAAGACCATATCTGTGCCGACTGGTTCGTCCTTGACACCTGAGATATGTGCACCTCTTGTTGCTACCCTTCCTCTTGAGGTATTATTCAATGCCTAATAAAACACTGATGATTTAAAGACTTGGACTTGCAATTTCGACTTATAACTTTTTCCATGTACACAGATCAAAGGGGAACTTGAAGATTTTATTCAAGTTATTTTCACCCTTTTCCAAGGTATGTTCAAGATTGCACTCACAAATCAATGCAGATTCACAACAACTGAAACTCTTTTTAACTATCTTCTTTCTTTTGTGGGGGCTAGATCTTGATTTCACTTTCTTGGAGATGAATCCTTTTGCACTGGTCGAGGGAAAGCCTTATCCTCTGGATATGAGGGGTGAGCTTGATGACACCGCCGCTTTCAAAAACTTTAAGAAGTAAGTTTGGCTCTCAACTGGTCCTACTCAAGAGCTTCAACAAGGCATTATAAGCCATCTTGCTCGAGCGATATGCTTAACCTCTCACATTTTGCAGGTGGGGAGACATTGAGTTCCCTATGCCATTTGGAAGAGTGATGAGCCCCACAGAGAGCTTCATCCACGGTCTAGATGAGAAGGTATCATGATCAATCTTTGTAGAAGTTGGCTGTTCTGGAATAGCAGTTTCTGTATGACTCTTATGAACCTTTTTACTTTTTGCGTATGCAGACAAGCGCATCTTTGAAGTTCACTGTTCTGAATCCCAAGGGAAGGATTTGGACTATGGTAGCTGGAGGAGGTGCAAGTGTCATCTACGCCGATACGGTATGTTTAGTCAGCTGGGAGGATCTCCTACATTTTTTTCTACTTACAAGCCTTAGCCTCTGAGATGTTTTCTAAAATGGTATCTAGGTTGGAGATCTGGGATATGCATCTGAGCTTGGAAACTATGCTGAATACAGTGGAGCACCCAAAGAAGACGAGGTTTTACAGTACGCTAGAGTCGTCATCGATGTGAGAAGCTTTTTATTGTTTCCTCCCTCCACATAAAACCAACCAAACATTAAGACACTTGTGACTATAAAATACTATGAATATGCCAATTATGCAGTGTGCTACAGCGAACCCAGATGGAAAAACCAGAGCACTAGTGATCGGAGGTGGCATTGCTAACTTCACCGATGTTGCTGCCACCTTCAATGGCATTATCCGAGCCCTCAAGGAAAAGGTAAGGGAGAAAATGAGTGTAAATAGCTAAGTTACTTGCTAAAATGAGCTTTACTTCAACTCTTTCTTTTATTTGTTTTTGAACAGGAAGCAAAGCTGAAAGCAGCAAGGATGCATATATATGTGAGGAGAGGAGGACCAAACTACCAAAAGGGACTTGCTAAAATGAGAGCACTTGGAGATGAAATCGGTGTCCCCATCGAGGTATATACACACAATAAATAAAACTCAATACATTTCCACTTGCTCTATTCTAACAGTTCTTACATGTTTGTTTTGATTTCAAGGTGTATGGACCTGAAGCAACAATGACAGGTATCTGCAAGGAGGCAATCGATTACATCACTGCAGCTGCTTAAGCCTTTTATTCTTATCTAGTTACTTTAAATGCTCCTTCTGGTTTGTGTTGAGACTTATGGTTGGATTATATGTTTTACTTCTAAAGTTTCTTATTTGTATTCACAATAAATCAACAAGTATCTTTGTACTCATTTCTTTTTTACTTAGTGTGTGGTCTCTTTCGATTGTCATCATATTCTTGACGTTTAGGTTAAACTCCGTTATTGTTTTGCTTATTTTGTACACCTGAAGCACTCTCGTTCCACCAAAAGGAAGCATTTAGCATTATAGATGCGACTAAGTAAATTAGAGTAAGAAATAAAGGTGGATTGAAAAAGCATATATTATGTAATAACATTTGGAGTCAAATATAATGTAATAGATATCTCCTAATCACAGAAAAATATTATATACGTAACAAAAAATAGCAATCATTATTGATAGTAAAAATAGCTTGGATGTCTAAGAAACAACATATGGTAACACTTTTGATAACAGAGATTAAACTTGTTGCAGCGGTTTATCTGCTCGTCAACGTGTTTGGATGAGAAGAATTTTAAAAGAGTTTGATTTGATGCAAATAATGAGTTATATCATATTGTGTGACAACAGTTTGCTATCAAGTTGAAATTTCTCTATTTGAATAAGCTCTATTTTTTAAGGGTCTAGTATTTCGAATTTGGTTTGAGTAGGTTGTAGAATATTTAGTATTCACGTTCTTGGCTACTATTTTAAACCTTGCAAGATGTACAACATCGAAATGCTTACATACTTTTGTGTAAACTTGAACTTATGTTTATGTTTGAATCCAATATAATTACATTAGAGCATCTATAAATTAATACTCAATAAATTAATAATCTTTATAATATAATTTTTTTATCAGTTTCAACTTTGACCGGTATAAAATATAATACAAATCGATAAAATAATAAGATAATAATATTTTAAAATTTCCATGTAAATATATAGTCTCACTAAAATCATACTTCAAATAAAATAATAGAACAATATAAAATTCAAATATCTAAAATTTAAATTATATACATACGTTAAAATCAAATATTTTTTAAATAATATATATATAATTTTATATAAATACAATATAACATTATATTATTAATTTTATATTTACAATAAAACTCTAATATATTTTGATAATATTAATTATATCGAAATCCACATAAAAATTCTATGAAACATTAAAATATACACCAAATAAGATAATAGAACAATATAAAAGTTAAATTTCTAAAATTTAAATTATATAGATACATTAAAATCAAATATTTTTTTATTTTATAAATAAAATGGAAAATAGAAAAAATGTAGATAAATTATTTTTGTAAATTAATAAATCTCAAAGTCTTAATATTATTAATTTATAAAAGTTTTACTGTATAGTGAAATTTTGTAAACAAAAAGGAAATATCTTAAACCGGACGTGGTTCAAGCGAGCCGGATTGTATCAACGACAAGACAAAGCCACCGAACATACAATGGTCGTTATTTCTCAACTGCATCAACGAATTTAAGCCAGGTAGAGTTGTAAACGTGGAGGCTAATCAGGTGTAGTGCCAGAAGCGTGCACCTGCAACTGAGAGACAACATAATAGCCGTCAGATCACGCGGCAATAAGCAATCTCTGTTAACGGGGAATGATGTCGGTCCAAAGTCTCGTGAGTCGTTCTTATGACACGTGGCTTAGATGCAGTCGGTGGCACTCTGCCGTATATTTTGGTCACGACCACGATCCATTAACTTCCTAACTATATTCATTAACTAAATTTATAAACACTATGGAATGACTAAATTAGCAATTGCATAATTCTTTTCAAGGTCAAATTAAAACTTATTTTCAAGATTTAAATCTAGTAAATTGCTAGCTCAGTATTTTTTGGTCATTACTACTATTCACTAACTAGATTAACCATTTTTGGAATAGAATAGTGTAGAATGATCAATTCTATTAATATTTTTACAGTCATTATCACTATTCACTAAAACGGTAATAAACATTACATCAGTATCACATAGAACTAAACAAAATATTCCATAACAATTTTGTTAAAGAATAAATAGAGCTGATTTATTCCATTTTTCTACTACATTCCATTCATCTAATTCTATTTTTATATTAACATTTAACCTAATTTTTTTATTTGAAAAATGAGTCTTTCACCTTAATTATTTTTGAAATTTTAATAATCTGATATTTTCTAATTTTCAGTTTCGCTTTACTATGTAGTATTTGATAAAATTTTCAGTTAACATTTTTTTGTTTTCAGTTGAAAATAATATATTAGTTTTTTTCTTTTTTGAAAATCCAAAATAATATATTAGTTAGAGATGAAACGGAGAACTTTATGATTTACAATATGTAGTATAAAAAACTTCATATCAAATAATAAATGAATAAAGCAATAATTTAATTTTAAAGTCTAAACCCACATAATTTCTCAATTATTGACATACTTTAACAGAGAAAATGACTAAACATTATTAATAAAATTTAACATTTTCACAAACATCAATGGTAAAACGAAATCAGCATCCTCTGTTAGAGAAACCGCTGTTTTCTCCCAAACTCAAATCTCTTAAATCAAAATCTAACAGTCTCCCTCTCTTTTACACAAATGCTCACTTCTGCATATTCTGAAACCAGAAATTAAACCATTAGCTTTCCAGTTTCTTTTTTTTTCTCCAAGTCTCCATATACTCTGTTCATTCTTCTAACTACATTTTGATTGAACCAAGAATATGGATTCGTCGAAGAAACTCTCGTTTCCCGACCAGTTCTTGTCTGCGAGAAGAAGAAACATCTTGTCCAGATTCTGTCTAGGAATCTCTGCTTCTCTCGTTCTCCTCACTCTTCTCTCTCTTACTAACTCTTCCTTCAACGTCCCCTTCGTCTCTCCTCTGCTTCAAGGCTTCAAAAACTCCAATCTGAAGAACCCTCCTTCTCCTTCTCCTCAATTCAACTCTTCAGAGTCATCATCTTCTTCTTCCAATCAAGTTGAAGAGAAGAAGCCTGAAGTAGTTCCAGTTCCAGTTCCAGTTCCAACCTTTAAATCTGGACAAACAGGAGATTCTGGTCCGAAGAATACAAGTTTGTCTGGAGAAGGTGAAGTCTCAAGCGTTGAATCTGGACAAAGATCTGGCGTAACAGTTAAGGATTCGAGTTTGTCTGAAGATGATGATAAAGTCTCAAGCCGGAATGACCAAAATACCCTCCAAGCAAATGTTACCATAAGTGTAGACAACAGCTCGACCTTGGTATCTGATAGGGTTGATAAGGTCCCTGTGGTAGCAGATCGAAGCAGAGGTTCTTACGAGGATTGTGATATCTACGACGGAAACTGGGTGAGAGTTGATGATGAAACGATGCCGTATTACCCACCTGGTTCGTGCCCGTATACAGACAGAGATTTCAACTGTCACGCTAACAAAAGACCTGATGATGGTTATGTTAAATGGAAATGGCAGCCTAATGGGTGTGACATTCCCAGGTAAGTTATTAACTTTGGTTCTTGTTTCTTGAAGTAGTACAATGTGTCATTGTGTGATGTCTGTGTTTGGAATCTTTAAGGTTGAATGGGACAGACTTTCTTGAGAAGCTAAGAGGGAAGAAGCTAGTTTTCGTTGGAGACTCGTTGAACAGAAACATGTGGGAGTCTCTTGTTTGCATACTTAGACATAGCCTCAAGGACAAGAAACGAGTTTATGAGATCTCAGGGAGGAGAGAGTTCAAGAAGAGAGGCTTCTACGCTTTCAGATTCGAGGACTATAACTGCACGGTGGATTTCGTTGGCTCGCCGTTTTTTGTTAGGGAATCGAGTTTTAGAGGCGTGAACGGGACGGCATTGGAGACTTTAAGGTTGGATTTGATGGACAAGACGACATCCATGTATAGAGATGCTGATATACTCGTATTCAACACTGGTCATTGGTGGACTCATGACAAAACAAAGTTAGGGTATGATTCTGTTACAGTGACTACGGATTAGCATTTCAGTGTCGGTTCGATTTTTTTTTAGTTTTTCGTTTTTTTCGGTTCTAGAGATATAGTATCCGTTCGAGTTTTCGGTTCGGTTTCGTTTTTTTCAGTTTGGTATGGTTTGCGATAAATGAGCGCAGGCCTAACAGTTTGATGTTGTTTGGCAGAGAAAACTATTACCAAGAAGGTAACATAGTGTACCCAAGGCTCAAGGTTCTGGAAGCTTATAAACGAGCTCTCACCACATGGGCCAAATGGGTTGATAAGAACATCGACCGGAACCAAACCCATGTTGTATTTAGAGGCTATTCCGAAACACATTTCAGGTAAATACTTCAATATTTACTTCAAAAACCTTGTTCTTAGCTGTATTGAACCGATGTTCTTTTTCAGAGGAGGGCCATGGAACTCGGGAGGACAATGCCATAACGAAACAGAACCAATCTACAACACACGTTACTTAAAAAAGTATCCTTCAAAGATGAGAGCTCTTGAGTACATACTCCGTGATACAATGAAAACACCGGTGATTTACATGAACATAAGCAGACTAACGGATTTTAGAAAAGATGGTCACCCTTCTATATATAGGACGGTGTACAGGACGGAAAGGGAGAAGAGAGAAGCTGTGAGCCACCAAGATTGTAGCCATTGGTGCTTGCCGGGTGTACCGGACACATGGAACCAGCTCTTGTATGTATCTCTGTTAAAGGCCGGGCTTGCATCTAAGTGGTAGTCAAAAGTCCTTTGCCTTTGTATTATTGTTTGCGGTTGTGCAGTATAAATGTAGCAACTTAAGTCTCCCTTCTGTAAAAGGGAGTTTTTTTTTCCTACAAACTTTTTGTATCATTGCACCGAAAAGCACGTTTATACTTGTTGCCTTGTTGGTATGGATTTGCGTATAGGCATTACATTACTTTGGAATTCATGGAATCTGTTTCCCATGTCACATTGCATGGACGTTTGAACGATCTTAAACACATATTGGTTTTATAATGTATGTTTTTTTATTGGACAATGATATGTATTTTGTTGATAGAACTAAGAGATAAACAGTGTTAAAAAAAAAAAAAAAAAACTAAGAGATAAACAAAAATCTTAGTTGATACCCCATTAAACAAATCTGCGATTGGGGTATGTTTACCAGTTTAAGTATTCTTTGAGATGTTAAAATACAATCAAGTGTTCCCTTACTTCACATGGTATCAGAGTTTTAGACTACAAATTTTTTTCTTGTCTACAAAGTTCTTAAAGTTGAGTATCGTTTTGAGTTGTCACGATTAGTAGAGAACAAGTTCTCAAAGCTATTTGCAAAAACTGAGTGATATGGTGGTTTCACGGTGTCATTTGTTTTCTTCTGATAATACCAATGGTTGATTTAGTATTTAATATGGTGCTAAATATTCTTTCCAAGGTTTTGACGTTTTGTTATAGTTCGAACAATATTTTTGTGATGTCCAATTTATTGACTTACGATTTTATTTATTCTATATGACTGAGGTTCCGGATTGAGGTTCATATAATTTAACATCTGGAACCAAAGCATATAGTAATATTTTAAGACAAAATCTTGCGGCAAAGGTAATTAAAGAAACACAGAACTTAGAAAGAGATCTCATCACATAAATTCACTTCACGAGGAGAGTGAGTATCCTTTCACCTGGGGAACAAAATTTGAAAATGTCGGATCTCATGCAGTATCCAAGAAATGGGCACTTATCTGAATCCATTAATACAGCCACAACTTCAGTCAAGTCGATTTGAAACTAGAATAGTCAAATAATTGAAACCATTTCCCTGCCCAAACTATAATAGCTTCTGCTTCCAAAACCATAATAGTGTACAAGTTTATATTACACTAACCAATGTTTTTAAGGTAGCACCGAAAAGTCTTAAAGGACATTTTGAGATACCATCTTTTAGTTTTATAGAAAAAATCACAGTTTTTGGATATAAACTGTCATATTTTTCTTAACATGTGTACCAAAAAAAAACTGTCATATTTTATATCCGAAATTAATAATTTACAATTATTTATAAATTATTTTTATTGGCATCCTTAAAAGATTCCTAAAGAGCTTAATTATGCCACACTATAGCAAGTAATTATTTATAAGTATCTGAATGAACGAATGAATCGTAACTCTTTCAAGAACCAAGGATCAGCATATCTCAGTATCACTCATTCACATCATTATCTAGCTTTAAAATATTTTAGGTTAAACTAAAAAATGAAATATGGACCTCCAATAAGGGTAGACCTCAAGGCCGAAGGATTCAGAAATGTGGAGATGCTATACTTTCAGACACTTCAAATGTAGAAATAATACAAAACACAGAAAACTGTCCAGTTATTGAAAGTTTTGTAACTAAAAGATTAGGGGCAAAAGATGGTTGTACTTTTTTTTGTCATTTGATACGCATGAACATGCAATAGTTAGGACCGTGCCGATTTAACTACTACTCCTATCAAAGGAGTTTTACATATGTAACGACAGAAAAGGTAAAATGACACCAATTGTATAACCATCAATTTTACTGAAAAAGAAAATTATACGAGAACATCGAGTTTCAGTAACCTTACCTAGTAATGTCCTAACTCGTAACATTGTAGTCCTTGTATAAAATCGAAAATTAACGAAGAAAGCGCTAAACAGTAACGAGCTAAACTAATAAAGAAACTGATTTTGTAAATTTAAGAATTTTTAATTAAAACCTAAACAGTTTAGAGAGAGGAGATAATTATCATTAGAATCAAGGAGGGGCTGTAGATTTTTGTATGAAGACAGTCTTGAGATCCGGTGGAGAGAAGAACTCTCTAGCGCCGCTGTAGTCAAACTTCGACGATGTTTTTCGTTTCTTCGGCGGCGGAGGACACGGGAAAACCGTCGGTATTCTAAAGGCAGCCGCCGTTGGAGTAGTCGGCCACTTATCTTGGTGAACGTCATCTTCCATATCCGCTACGGCAGTTGAGGGAAGGCTAATCGGCTTCATCTGCGAGAGTAAGGAGATTTCCGAAATGACCCATTTCTCGGAAGTGTCGTGAAGTTCACCGTCGAACTGGTGCTGTGTCTTGTCGGAAAGTCCCATAAGTTTCTGACTTTTGGAATAATAAGGGAAAGTGGTTTTAAAAAATGGTTGTTTTTTCAGGGTTTATATCAGTTTGTAACTATAGAGAATGTGAAGAGAATAATGAAGCATCTGATATAGAGAAGAGACTCTCTTGTAGTCAAGTCAACAGCGACTTGAAGAAAACGTATCAGTGTCGATTCGGTTATTTTTGCTTGGTTAAGATAACGTCATAATACGTAATAACGTAATATGCTACTTGTAATTTTGTTCTATAAATTCGTATTTTCTGGTTTAAGAAAAACATTCAAAGAATCTAGAGCCGAAAACTATAGATTGAATGTACGTACATAGCATCTTTATTTAATGTGAGAGATATATGACATTCATAATATTTTTCTTTGTTTGAACTTTTACATTCATAATAGTTAATACTTAATTCAATACTATGTAGATTCATGTTCAGCATTATTTGGATTATATATATATATATATATATATGTAAAAGTGAACCTTAACTTAAAGGTGCATAATATTTATTAACAAGGAAATCTTTTGGTATCTCTATACATGCAGTAACACGAAACTCCAAGGTCATCATATTCAATTGTAGGTTTGTTCATTACAAATTGAATGTTGATATAAGGTTTTAAGGTAAAGATTAGAGATAGTATAGTCAACTTAAATGATGATTTCAAACTTCTATACAAAAATTTAATGTGATTTGATATTTTGACCATTTATATTCTATTGTATGATTTTTATTGATTGAATTAGTCTTAGTAAAAATTAACCAATAACTGAGACTAAATCAACCAATAAAAATCATACAATAAAATATAAATGGTTAAAATATTAAATATTCTTAAAATTTTGTATAGAAATTGAAAAATTATTTAAGTTGGCTACACTATCTTTAATATTTACCTTAAACATTAATTAATTTGAAACATAAGGAGTAGAAGGGTTCTCCTATTTAACAATGATTTGGATACCCTATTGTTACGTTGGACGAAGTTATATTTGGTTTGAGATGCTTTTTAAATATGGTTTCTATCATTATAAAACCAGAATAAATTATTGAAACAAAGAGTAGAACCTTATACCAACTAAGAATATATATACACATCGATGAATGAAGTTTCATTCACGTTGTAGATAACTTTATAAAAGTAAATATTTCACAACTTGTTTAGTGAATATATCCGCATAATATACTAGTATGACTATCTTTTTTGAATGGCGACGACTGACTAGATGGTTAAATTAAATTACAAATGGGACTTGTTAGATAAGAGCAAGCCAGTGATCTTCGAAGTTGTAAATAAACTATTGATGCCTAACCAATTGGGGAAGAATGTATGTGTGATCCAAGAATGAAGAATGTGTGAGAGAGTGAGTAAACACATGGAGCAAAAGTATTCAAATAAGTTTTTATGATAATAAGGAGCCCGAGGAAACGCGTGACTCTAAGCCTCATAAATTTAATTTACACATACTCCTTTTTAATTATTACTATATTCAAGCCTTGTATATATATATATCATTTTCCGTGCAAGTATTCAATGAAGTAACGAGATGGAGAGAGTCTCGTTTTAAAGTTTTGAATCTTGGTCAATCCTAGTTCTATTTGAACACTGGATCAACGTTTGACCCCTTTTGTTTTCTTCAATCATCCATTACAAAACCAAACACTCTGTGCCTTCCTTTTTGGTGCGATAGTGGAAAAGAAATTGGTGGAATTTTTTTCTGATGTGAGTTTTTTGATAAAACCCTATTATGCAGACTAAGATATCTGAATATTGTAAACAATTTAAATAATAAAATTATACTACTAAAGACTAAAAAAATAATGATACAATCGCATAGTCAATATATTATCCTTTTTTTTTGTAACACTGTCAATATATTATCCATTTTCATAATTCAGACTACATCCGTAATGCGACAGATGACGTAATGAGTTGCATAATACAACTGACAAAATCTTATAATCTGCGTTATTTTATTAGAAACCTGTCAAATAACTTTGTGTATATTGTCAAACTCAAAAATATATCAAAGAGAAAGAGAAGAAAATAATGTAACTAAGGAATTGTTAAACAATGATTTTCTCTTCAAAATATGTCTTCTGAATCAGCTTTCACGTATTGCTATATAACTTCCAAAGTCAAAAACATACGTTATGTATCATGGGGTAAATTATTGCAGTAATGAGAATTGATTCTTCATTACTCACTTAGTGGACAAAGTAATTAACGGCTTTGACCAAACAAATCAAAGCCAGAAATCCGTTTTATGGCTTTGCATTTTTATGCTCAAAATTTCAAATAAACATAAAAGATCATAAAATTAAAATTTGAAAGACTAGGATAATTGACATATTTTCTAACTAACAAATTGAAGTCAAAAATTTAAACCATCCAAAGTGAAATATTTGCTAATATTTAATACATAGCCAAATTTTAAATTTTACAAGTTTTCATATCATTCAATTTGGATCTCAATTTCTCATTCAAAACAACTTTGTTTCTGATAAACAAATAAACATGTTGACATGCCCCTCGTGTCCATGCATGTTTCCAACAATATGTATGCATCGCGGTTTCATCTGGTTGCTGCATCGAGAGGATGCATATGCTCAGAATCTGGGATGAGGGTTAGTCTTGGTGGTTCTGTTCCCTCTTGAAGGTATCACATTGGTGACTGAAGACACATTTTTAGGAGAATATTCTTGTTGGATATCTTGACCAAGTCTGAATCATGAATAAGTCAAGCGAGATATTAGGAGTAGAGTAAGTGCTTTAGTGGTTAAGTTTGTTTCCTGTTTTGTTTCCGTAAGTTTCTGCTTCTAGTTATCTAAGCTTCTATAAAAGCTTCTGTAATCCTTTTCTTTTAAACCAAGAAATCATTCAGACTACAATCTATCTTACAAAGCAATTCTGATTTCTAGTTCCTTTATCTGGTATCAGAGCCTGAGAGAAACACAAAGTGAGCGATCGAAGAGATGACGGAAGCTAAAGAATTTCCGGCTCCTGCGGTGCCAAAATTCGATGGAGACTATGATCACTGGAGTCTCGTCATGGAGAATCTTCTGCGATCGAAGCAATACTGAAGTGTTGTCGAGTCAGGGATAGAAGATCTGAGAATCACAAACCCTTCTCCTGCCCAACAGAAGGCGTTTGATGAAGCAAAACTCAAAGATCTCAAAGCCAAAAATTATCTCTTTCAATCAATTGATAGAGCAATTCTGAAGACTATTGCCCAGAAGGAGACATCCAAGCAACTGTGGGATTCCATGAAAATCAAACATCGAGGAACGGCTAGGGTGAAGAGGGCACAGCTTCAAAGGCTGAGAAGATCGTTTGAGACCTTGGAGATGAAGACTGGGGAAAAGATAGAGGCGTACCTTGGGAGAGTCATGGAGGTAGCCAATGACATGAGAAACTGTGGAGAAGACCTGAAGGATGTGGCGATTGTTGAGAAAATTCTCCGAAGTCTTACGGAGAACTTCAACTTTGTGGTATGTTCGATTGAGGAGTCAAAAGACATCGATGAATTGCAAGCGTCCCTCCAAATTCATGAGAGCAAGGTGACAGAGAAGAAGAGTGAGGAGCAGGTGCTGCAAGTTGAAAACGAGCCTAGAGGCGCTCGCGGGAGAGGAAACTGGAGAGGAAGAGGAAGAAGTAATTACCGAGGACGTGGAAGAGGCAGAGTGTCTGGGAGCAAATCAACCGTTGACTGCTACAACTGTGGAAAACTAAGACACTACGCTTTCGAGTGTTCTGAAAAGGCAAATTACGTTGAGTATGATGAAGAAGAGGAGTTGTTGTTAATGGCTCAAGCAGATCCGTGCAAGGTTGAAGGAAAGGAGATATGGTTCCTGGATTCTGGTTGCTCGAACCATATGACCGGAGAAAAGTCTTGGTTCATGGAGCTAGACGAAGACTTCAAACATTCAGTTCGTTTGGGAAACAGCTCGAAGATGGTGGTTGAAGGAAAAGGGAAGATCCGAATGGAAGTTAAGGGAATTACACAAGTGATCACTGATGTTTATTACATTCCCCAACTCACCAACAATCTCTTAAGCATCGGACAGTTACAAGAGAAGCGTCTGAAGTTCATAATTGTGTATGGGAAGTGCAGAGTTTATCATCGTCAACGAGGTCTCATCATGGAGACAGAGATGACGATGAACAGAATGTTTCTGGTTCATGCCAAAAACAAAGTAGTCACGGATACTTGTCTAAAGGTGGAAGGAGAAGACCTGAGTTCTCTATGGCATAGAAGATTCGGACACTTCAACAACAAATCTATTCAGTTGATGCAGAAGAAAGAACTGGTAAAGGGGTTACCAAATCTGAAAGAACAAGACAAGGTGTGTGTTGTGTGCAACATTGGAAAGCAGCAACGAAACAAATTTCCAAAGAAGAGCAACAGAAAAGCTTGAGCTGATTCATCTCGACCTGTGTGGACCAATCACTCCGGCCTCTCAAAGTGGAAAAAGGTATCTAGTGGTCCTTGTTGATGACTTCTCTCGTAGAACCTGGATCTACTTTCTCACAGAGAAATCGAAAGCCTTTGAAACCTTCAAGCTCTTCAAGGGGTTGGTAGAAAAAGAAGCTAAGAGTGTGATAAGAGGTCTGCGCACAGACAGGGGAGGAGAATTCACGGGTGAGAAATTCAATCAATTCTGCAAAGACCATGGTATCAAGAGACAACTGACTTCAGCATATTCTCCTCAACAAAATGGAGTGGCGGAGAGGAGAAACAGAACGATCATTAACATGGTTCGCTGTCTGCTATCAGAGAAGGAGATGCCAAGAAATTTATGGGCAGATGCAGCTCGATGGACCGCTCACGTCCTGAACCGAAGCTTAACCAAAGCTGTAAAAGACAAAGTACCTGAAGAGAGATGGACAGGAGTCAAGCCTAAAGTCGATTATTTCAGAGTCTTTGGCTCCATAGCTCATGTTCACATTCCGGTGCAGAAGAGAATCAAACTAGACGATCGCAGCTAT